CTATTTTATGATAAGCCTTTATCGCCATGGGCAGTTTTTGAGGCCATACTGGAGTTCTCCCCATTTGTGTCACTACACGCAATCAAGTGGCGTGGCTTTGAAACCCTTTCAGGAATACTTTCACATAGTAGTACTAATTTTTCTCAGTACTTAAAAATAAGATTGGGCGATTTTCTCTAGCTTTGATCTCCGATAATCTTGGCAGTTACAAGTAAAGAAGTCCTTCTCACCTCAGTATATCTGTTCACATGAGGCAGACAAAGAAGAAATATAGACGTCATGTCTTTCATCTTCTGATCCTCAATTCTTCTTAAAACAAAATCACATAAGTCGCTGCTGACAAACTTGGAACAAAGAAGAGCCTGAGGACAAAAATAATACTTCATCGTGTTAGATAACTCTCGCTGAGATTAATCTCATTAGAGAGCTTTAGTTTCGAGGACGAGGACGACAACGAAGGACGACATTTAATTTTAAGTTTTCTCGCCTATTTTCTACAAATAGACACACCGGAAAGCTTTACTGTACCTTTTTTAACCACAAAAGTTAACACGCTTATTTCCGCTGAAGGAGGTGAAGCTCTCTCCTGATCACTAAGAGAGAAATTATAAAATTTCTAACATTTGACGTCTTGTTTTCGCTACTACGACATTCTCGCTAAAACTCGTAGTAGACTGACGACGGCTACCAAATTTTCCCGCCAAAATGACGTTGATTCGCGCGTGCACTACTTAGTATTGGGAAAAGCCGTCCTCATCTCGTCCTCATCTTAGAATCTAAAACTCTCTACTATACCCCACTCACATGATGAACAACAAAACAACTCAATGTAGATTATTTTATGATCCCCAAATAACTTAACTTGGCACGAGAAACACCTTAGTTTCACAAAATCCAGGGAAGGGGGTTAAAACTGCCGTTTCTTCGTTCCTTCCGTAGCTAAGCACCGACCACAAAGCTACACTATGAAAAGCTCAAACTCACTGACAAATTCGTACCTCTGCCTCTTCACGCCCTGCTCACGTGCACCAGGGGGCAAAGTTCACCGATAACACAGTACCCACTGACCTCCACCATTCCCAGCTCTTCTAAAACTTTAGGCGGGAAATTTTTTGTCAAGCGCCATGTGACCAAGAAGTAGCCAATGAATGTAGCTCATGTGGTGGGCGTAGCCTGCGTGGCTGGTGATAAGGCTGGCGAAATTGTCTTTGTGTACTACTGCGTGCGAGGGGCGTTCGATTCTCGCGGCTTTGCTCGCATGGCTTGGTTGGTTCGCGCTAGATAACAATCCCGCCGGCCACGCAGGCTATGGTGGGCGCAAAACTACTGAATAAATTCACGACCGAAACAGAAAATTTCTACTTCTCTCTCTTTTTCACTGCACAAGATCCTATCGTTGTTCGCGGCAGCGATTTTTGGTTACTTTTAATACTTATTGCAGAAGTATTTGCCAAGAAAAGACAAACTTCTAAATCACACACAGAGTCCAAAATGGTTATCACTTCTGGTAAATAAACATAGCAAGAAACCTGTCTACAATCCTGGACAAAACTACTTGAGAAAATGTTTTCATTAATGCGCACTACCTAACGCAACAAAACTATTTCCAAATCAACGGCTTTGCGTAAAGAAAACCCCCTCCCCCAGTTCAAAGTTGCTTCCTACAAATGCTTAGGGATCCGGCTTTCTTTTGAAGACCCAACAACACTGCTTCCAGGGGGAGGGGGGAGGGGGGAGGGAAGAATCGGTCGGCTACGAAGTTTAGAAGAAATGCCCCAAAAGTTTGCACTTTTCTCAACAGTTTTGTCTACGATTGTAGCATTCTTTTTAGTTTCTTTCCCTTTTTGTTTCTGTCTTCAAGTTGTTCAACATCTCAAACATAGAACGAGTCTAGTTACCTGTAGCTTGAGAAGATCCTCATTACAGCAACAGCAGCAACATTCATGTACGCGCATCGAAGTGTCTCCAGTGTACATGACTCCCGCTCCTCGCCGCGAGGGACCGGAAAACAATGAAGACCGAGACAACTGAGGAGAGCACTGGGGAGAACTTGGTTTGGAACACGGGCAGCCTGGGACTGAATGAGTCAATGAACCTGAAATTTCAGCAAAAATAAAAATTTTCAGGATTTTCTTTTGACCTCAGTTAAGGAGAAGTGGTCTTAGCCTATCTCATGGACAGAGAAAAAAACCGCAAAACAAAATAGTCTGTGAAAATAGCCCACATTTTGCGAGACCACCCCTTGTTTCCCTGTGAATTGAAGTCTGAAGAACGACAACAGAAATTCCATACTGACACGTCATCAGTATGGAATTTCTGCGTTCGTTCCTTAGACATGATTTTGCGGGGAAACCAGTGGGGGCCTCGCAAAATATGGGCTGTTTTAACAGACTACAAAACAAAGTTTCTGCTCCAAGCTACAGTTACCTCTTACCCTGAAAAGGTGACACCTTGTTTAGCCACAAGTGACGCGCACCAAAGTGACCTTCTCCTTTACGCTAAAAAAAGAAATTCAAGACGGCGTAAGTTCTAAGTTGCCGTTTTGTGTGACAAATAACGAGTCCCTATTACTTTGCATTTTAAGGTAATGTGAAATGCTTTATAGAAGAGAAGAAGACAGGGTCAAAAGAGACACACACTACTATCAAATAAGTATATAACCAAGATAACTAAAGTAATTAATACACTGCAGGAGTCGATTAGTACATTGTATGGAAAGTTTTACAACTCAATTGTAAAACGCAGTTAATGGAGCGTGACGCCCTCACTCAACAACATGTAACGCAGTGTTATGCTATAGCCCTTATCAAATCTCGTAGAAGTTTACTCGTGGTGGGTAAAACTACTGGGTAGTACGTAAAATCACGGCTATAGCTGGGAAACTACTGATACAATAGCAATCCTTGTTTTTTGTTGCAGTTGAGGCTAGTTTCTGATGTATCGCTCGTTTTGTATGGCTAGTAAAAATAATTTTCCTCATGCACATCTCGTGGAGCACTTTAGGTGCACGTTCTGTTCTGTAGTACAGTATTTTTCATTGGCTTACCTTGTGATAGCACTCGGACTATAAAAGGCCTAGTAAAAGTCCTGTGCCTCATTCCGAGCTGTATTGCGAAGTTGGTTACTTCAACCGTCCTAAAGTTTTGTAATTCCCACCCTTCCCTCCCTTTGGAGGCTTTGTTGCGGTTCCCAATAAACACGGGCTCACCGCTTTCTTTCGCTTTCGGTTTAAGTCTCACGGCGACTTCCCCAAGCTTTGATTTTAACGCAAACTTTTATATTTGATTGTATTCCAGCACGTGCCGGCGGAGTCGGCTCGTAGTGCTGATAAGATAAAGTTCCCAGAACAAAATATTTGCCTACACCGTTCCATTAAGTTGCACGATGCTGGCCGGAGGTTTCAGCTCGTAGTGCCGTGGAGTGTTAGGCCGTATTAAGTTTGTTTCTTTCGGACCTACCTGAACTTGTCCGATCCGGCGCGTGTAAATTAGCGCCGGGGAGATAAGTAAGGCTTTATGGTCACGCTATGGAAGTCGTCCACCACGCCGATCGCGGAGCGGTGTTCCCCCCATTACGCCATCTGTTTGTTGTCTTATCTTATTACAGTTATTGTAAAGTCTAGCGAAAGGAACTACGACGTTAATACACTGTAAATAGCAAAGAACAAAGGCGAGCATGGATAAGGAAAGCAGAATAGAGTGAACAGGGTACTTTGACTAGAGAGATTACGCCATCACAAAGAAAGGTGTTTTTGTTGTCGTTGTTGATGATGATGATGATGATGATGATGATGACGACGATGACGATGACGATGAATGTTATGATGATGACAGTGTGGATGATGATGACGATGATAATGTTGACGATGATGACGACAACGGCAATAATAATTACGTGTAGAAAGAATACGCGAAAGAACCATCAAAACTAAAAACTGACCACATGTTGATGTGATGAGGTGGACTGGCGCTTTCTTCTGTGGCTCCTGATTCTTTCTAGATATACACTACATAATGGAATCTATAAAGAGTGAAAAACCTATGGTTAAGCGGCAACCGACGGACGAACGTACCTATTCCATATTTCTTATTGTGACTGGCTAAAATATTGTGCCATTAACTCAACCAATCAGAAGTAACTGAGACCATTCGCAACTTGTTGATACGCATAAGTGGGTTGAGTATGATCGTCCGGGTGAATGTAGAGCTGAATAGGACTGTTGTTGTTGACAGTGACTGACGTTTCGACAACCTGTGCGGTTGTCACCTTGAGAGTCAAAGTGAGTCGTATTAAACTCTGGTTATTGACCTGTTTGGTCAATTAAGTCGAGATGTTATTGGTCGTCTGTCAGTTAAGCCGTGATGTTATTGGCTGTGAAGATTCGTAAGGTCATTGGTGCGTTTCGATCCGTCTATTGTCACAGTTAAACAGTAGTTCATTGTTAGTCTAGTCAAATTGTCAGTTGTCCAGTGGATCTCTCGTAGTTAGTTTTACTTGATTCCAACAATAAGTCGTTTGTACGGCGCCAGTAGCTGTTGACTACGATTCAGTGGTGTTTGTTGATACGCGTTGCATACTCTTGTACTCGCTATAACAGTCAAAAGCTTACCCACGCGGGGTCGTGGTTAGCACCGGCTACATGTACTTTCGTCCCGATCGATTAGTTTAATTCAATTTCTGCGTGTATTGTAATTGGTTTCGTTGAGAATTTGCGTCTTTTGTGATTGGTTCATTTGAGTGTCTGCGTATTGTGATTGGTTCAATAGTCCAGGTTTCGTTTTGGTCTAACAACACTGGGAATCATTCAAAATTAGCCAAGCGAGAAAACTCAGTTGAGCGGCAGAATGCTTCCCGGGGGAATAATGACTACTTTAAATAGGTCTACTTGAAGTAAAAACACATGTCCTAAGGATGAAAAAACTTAATTACCACAGTTGCAGCAAACGAGTCAACTCTGCCTTTATCTGGAACAAAAAAATAACGTAAAAAAAAACTCAAATACATTTATTTCTATGAACAACCAAACGCAGTTGGGTGAAACAATCCCTTCGTCTAAGCAGTGTAAATGGATGATAGTTTATACGTTCTTTTAATTGCACACAAACCATTAAGCACAGCTTCCATAAATCCAATGGCAAGTTCATTCTGATGAGCATCTGGTCTACTAGCCTGGAAGGTAAGAGCATAAATTAAATAAGACTGGTCGCACTTCATAGATGATCAACCCATAGATCAGTTTTACACCCAACCTGCGGCAAGATACGCTTTTCTTTACGAGTGAATAAATTCAACCGAGGCATTGGAGAAATTAATCTTCTCTCCGATAGCTCAATAGATGACCAACACACAGATCAGTTTTATAGCCAAACTGAAAGATAAGTGAAAGATGATTTCACAAAGTGAAAGATACGCTTTTCTTTACAATAAATAAATTCAACTGAGGCATTGGAGTAATTAATCTTCTCTCCCATAGCTCAATAGACCCTTTCATGGCTTTTTTCAACTTTTGACATGAACCAGTTAGGGAAAATCCGTCGACACCAGTGGAAAGAGCGCCTTGAAATTAGTAAAATTGCTAAGTTTGAAAGTGATACGTTTTAAGTGAGCGAAGATATAACTCTTCAAAGTTTCGAAAATTTACAGACATCACGGTAGGCGGCAAGTTCGTGCCCCCCACCAAACAAACGTCTTTTTTTAACTAGTCACTTTCAAACTTGGCAAATTTACTCATTTAAAGGCGCTCTTTCTAGCAGAGTTGACGAATTTTCCCTAAATTATCCCTGTTAAAAGTCGAAAAAACCGTGAAAGGGTCGTTACTCTTTTTCCTTCCACACTGAATTTCCAAAAATTGCCCTCTGTGCAAGTGAAAATTGGCTTCCGGTTTTTATATTTCGCGCGTTTTTGGACTTCAGGCTGAGCAGGTCGCGGAATACATTTTCGTGCCTCGACTGGGAAACACACCAAAGGCATTTTTGGATGAAAAACTTTAATCTCAAAGCAATTATGCAGGTTAAAATTTTTACTGTAATACAAACTTTTAGGTCTATTGATGAAATACTTATGTGCTAAGCAGTACCTTCCGCTAAAAATGTTTGGCAAAGTGGATCTGTCTTATTAGTTGGTAGAGTAAAGCCTTAAAGTATGCCATACTTTGACCATTCAGACGAAATCTGTGCATCAAGTTATTTTACATGGTATTGTTTATTTTTCCAGATTTAAAAAAAAAGATTTGCAGTTTAAGGGTTAGTTTGCATCAAAGTTTTGATCTTACCCCTAGCAAGGTTAGAAGAGTGTCCAGCGACAGGATGTATTTGTCATGAAGCTGTAGAAGACCTTGCAAGAAAACCGCCGGTTGATGCTTTCTTAAAAGCTGAAAAAAGCAACAACGTTTAATAAACAATAAAAACGATTATTACCCTTTGCGGTTGAAGAAATGACTGATATGAGAAGAGGGTTGTGGAAAAAAGGGGAGGGTTTTCCCGCGCGTCAAGTGCAACGACTCTGAAGGCTCTTTCAATGGTCGTTGTGCTCATTTTTGTCAGTTTTGTTAATTGTGATCTTTGTTTGCTCCTTTTGATAGTTTTGTATTATTGTCGTTCTGGTCGTTTTGTTCGTCTTTTGGTCATTTTTTTTNCGCTTTTCTTTACAATAAATAAATTCAACTGAGGCATTGGAGTAATTAATCTTCTCTCCCATAGCTCAATAGACCCTTTCATGGCTTTTTTCAACTTTTGACATGAACCAGTTAGGGAAAATCCGTCGACACCAATGGAAAGAGCGCCTTGAAATTAGTAAAATTGCTAAGTTTGAAAGTGATACGTTTTAAGTGAGCGAAGATATAACTCTTCAAAGTTTCGAAAATTTACAGACATCACGGTAGGCGGCAAGTTCGTGCCCCCCACCAAACAAACGTCTTTTTTTAACTAGTCACTTTCAAACTTGGCAAATTTACTCATTTAAAGGCGCTCTTTCTAGCAGAGTTGACGAATTTTCCCTAAATTATCCCTGTTAAAAGTCGAAAAAACCGTGAAAGGGTCGTTACTCTTTTTCCTTCCACACTGAATTTCCAAAAATTGCCCTCTGTGCAAGTGAAAATTGGCTTCCGGTTTTTATATTTCGCGCGTTTTTGGACTTCAGGCTGAGCAGGTCGCGGAATACATTTTCGTGCCTCGACTGGGAAACACACCAAAGGCATTTTTGGATGAAAAACTTTAATCTCAAAGCAATTATGCAGGTTAAAATTTTTACTGTAATACAAACTTTTAGGTCTATTGATGAAATACTTATGTGCTAAGCAGTACCTTCCGCTAAAAATGTTTGGCAAAGTGGATCTGTCTTATTAGTTGGTAGAGTAAAGCCTTAAAGTATGCCATACTTTGACCATTCAGACGAAATCTGTGCATCAAGTTATTTTACATGGTATTGTTTATTTTTCCAGATTTAAAAAAAAAGATTTGCAGTTTAAGGGTTAGTTTGCATCAAAGTTTTGATCTTACCCCTAGCAAGGTTAGAAGAGTGTCCAGCGACAGGATGTATTTGTCATGAAGCTGTAGAAGACCTTGCAAGAAAACCGCCGGTTGATGCTTTCTTAAAAGCTGAAAAAAGCAACAACGTTTAATAAACAATAAAAACGATTATTACCCTTTGCGGTTGAAGAAATGACTGATATGAGAAGAGGGTTGTGGAAAAAAGGGGAGGGTTTTCCCGCGCGTCAAGTGCAACGACTCTGAAGGCTCTTTCAATGGTCGTTGTGCTCATTTTTGTCAGTTTTGTTAATTGTGATCTTTGTTTGCTCCTTTTGATAGTTTTGTATTATTGTCGTTCTGGTCGTTTTGTTCGTCTTTTGGTCATTTTTTTTTGGTCGTTTGTAATCTTTTTGGCCGTTTTTGTGTTGCTTGCGTTGGTCATCAATGACCGTCATCTTTGGATTTTCGTAGTTTTTTTGTTACTTGTTAAAAAGTCCCTAATTACCGCAGCGACAAATCCCTCCAAGTTTCCCTTTGTCTTTTCTCGCTAGTCATGGCCAGGAACACAAGATTTAAGGCAATTGTCACACTCCAGCAAAGAACTAAACATATACCAATTCCAAAAACAATTGAAACCTTATTTGCTGTCAGAACAACATAGTTAACATAACTTAAGCATATACACCTTCTTTCTTAATACATTGTATTTTAAAACTGCTTCTTTAGAAATAAATTCTATCTCAATTCTCTAAAACTTTAAATTCTGGAGAACTGGCTAGAAAATCTTAGGATTATTTCAGCTCCAGGCCTTATTAAGTACAAATAAATATATATNAATTACACACAAACCATTAAGCACAGCTTCCATAAATCCAATGGCAAGTTCATTCTGATGAGCATCTGGTCTACTAGCCTGGAAGGTAAGAGCATAAATAAAATAAGACTGGTCGCACTTCATAGATGATCAACACATAGATCAGTTTTACAACCAACCTGCGGCAAGATACGCTTTTCTTTACAAGTGAATAAATTCATCCGAGGCATTGGAGTAATTAATCTTCTCCCCGATAGCTCAATAGATGACCAACACACAGATCAGTTTTATAGCCAAACTGCAGCAAGATACGCTAATTTCTTTACAATAAATAAATTCAACCGAGGCATTGGAGTAATTAATCGTCTCTCCCATAGCTCAATAGACCCTTTCACGGCTTTTTTCAACTTTTGACATGAACCAGTTAGGGAAAATCCGCCGACACCAATGGAAAGAGCGCCTTGAAATTAGTAAAATTGCTAAGTTTGAAAGTGATACGTTTTAAGTGAGCGAAGATATAACTCTTCAAAGTTTCGAAAATTTACAGACAATACGGTAGGCGGCAAGTTCGTGCCCCCCACCAAACAAACGTCTGTTTTTAACTAGTCACTTTCAAACTTGGCAAATTTTCTCATTTAAAGGCGCTCTTTCTAGCAGAGTTGACGAATTTTCCCTAAATTATCCATGTTAAAAGTCGAAAAAACCGTGAAAGGGTCGTTACTCTTTTTCCTTCCATACTGAATTTCCAAAAATTGCCCTCTGTGCAAGTGGGAATTGGCTTCCGGTTTTTATATTTCGCGCGTTTTTGGACTTCAGGCTGAGCAGGTCGCGGAATACATTTTTGTGCCTCGACTGGGAAACACACCAAAGGCATTTTTGGATGAAAAACTTTAATCTCAAAGCAATTATGCAGGTTAGAATTTTTACTGTAATACAAACTTTTAGGTCTATTGATGAAATACTTATGTGCTAAGCAGGACCTTCCGCTAAAAATGTTTGGCAAAGTGGATCTGTCTTATTAATCGGTAGAGTAAAGCCTTAAAGTATGCCATACTTTAACCATTCAGACGAAATCTGTGCATCAAGTTATTTCACATGGTATTATTTTTCCAGATTAAAAAAAAAAAGATTTGCAGTTTAAGGGTTAGTTTGCATCAAAGTTTTGATCTTACCCCTAGCAAGGTTAGAAGAGTGTCCAGCGACAGGATGTATTTGTCATGAAGCTGAAGAAGACCTTGCAAGAAAACCGCCGGTTGATGCTTTCTTAAAAGCTGAAAAAAGCAACAACGTTTAATAAACAACAAAAACGATTATTACCCTTTGCGGTTGAAGAAATTACTGATATGAGAAGAGGGTTGTGGAAAAAAGGGGAGGGTTTTCCCGCGCGTCAAGTGCAACGACTCTGAAGGCTCTTTCAATGGTCGTTGTGCTCATTTTTGTCAGTTTCGTTAATTGTGATCTTTGTTTGCTCCTTTTGATAGTTTTGTATTATTGTCGTTCTGGTCGTTTTGTTCGTCTTTTGGTCATTTTTTTTGGTCGTTTGTAATCTTTTTGGCCGTTTTTGTGTTGCTTGGGTTGGTCACCAATGACCGTCATTTTTGGATTTTCGTAGTTTTTTTGCTACCTGTTAAAAAGTCCCTAATTACCGCAGCGACAAATCCCTCCAAGTTTCCCTTTGTCTTTTCTCGCTAGTCATGGCCAGGAACACAAGATTTAAGGCAATAGTCACACTCCAGCTCATGTTAAAAATTAACCATCATTTGACGTTCCCAATACTTTAAAGCGGACACATGATGATTGAAATAATACTACACACCTGTGCCAGCGGTGTAAAATGAGTTCCATCCTCGTGTAACAGGTAATAATGTGTAGTCAGGACTTCCACAAGCTTTTTCTGCATGAAAAAAATGTCATGACTTATTAACTGCAAGCAGTTTTGTAGAGCCCCAAGAACTAGACGGCAAAATCTTACATAATCACACACGGGTAGTTAAATACAGGTTTTTTAAGGGAAAGTGTCAAACCAACGCGAAAAAAACTTTTTTAACAGCCAAACGCCAGAAAAATGTCGCATGATTTTCGCCACAGCCGCGTCCTCAATCCCCCGCTCGATTCGCCTCTTTCATCGCGCTCGCTCCGTTGTTCGCTCTTTTTCCCACGAAAGCACCTGGTGACAAGCTAAATGCTACAGCTGAACCATTTTAATGAACTGCTCACGAGAACTTTGACTGTACTTGGATCTGTTAAAAAAAAGAAATTAGAGCAAAATATTACAGGTACCTTAGGGATGGAAAACAGGGCTGCCTGCGCGTGATCAGGTTCACATTGATGAAGATATAAAACTGCTCGCACAAGGTTATCCAGTGGAGAAAGGCTAAAACAAAATAGCTCAAATCAAAATCTGTTTCCAAAGAAATAAAGTACATAAATGGACAAATAACCAACTGAAAAACATTCACTAACCTGTACACACCTCCATCAGCGAATTTCGCCTTCTTCAGATCTTCCAGCGCAGATAATGCGGTGTCTTAACAGAAACAAAACGTTAACAACAGAGAAGAATCATTGAAATGCTATCAAAAGTTAGAAATTGAAAAGCGTTCTTTAGTTCCGAGCTGGACAGATCTGGCCTGGACGTATTTCCGGTCTTCGAGAAGTGACGACCGGAAATAGGTCTGCGTTCGTATAGCTGGACTTATCGAACCATACCTGAGGAAAAGCCACTAAGAGATGACACTAGAATTATCTCTGCAACACGTTCAGGTTTCCCTTTTGAATACAACTTGAAGATTTTCTTGGCTGTATTCTGAAAAAAGAATGAAAGAAGTCTAAGAGATTTCTTTAAACAGCTGTAACCCATAACTTTGTTGCTCCTAAAAAATATTACGCAAGACCAATTAGCCCTTTTCTGGGCACCCAGTACTAGAGGGTCACCAAGAGGAGAAGTGTGACGTCACGTTACCATGGTAGCAAAATTTCTGGATCTGGGATCTGTGATCCAGAAATTTTGCTACCATGACAACGTGACGTAACTACTCCTCTTCTTTAAAGTTCTGCAGTGCCGCCGAAATTTCATTACGTCTGCATGTCAAATCTTTTGCTTTATAGCAACATCATTCGTAAACCTCAGATACATGTAAAACTCGGCATCTTACCTCAGATACAGGAACAGGTTCATCGAACCCCAGCAGTTTTTCATCCAGGAAGTGGATTAAACCCTCAGCCACAGTCGTCTGGCCAGACTTATGGTACGCCCTGTTGACAATGTCTCGCAGCGAGAGGCCAGTCATGTTGAAGTAATCTGCACTATCTTGGTAGACACTGGGTATCCTGAAAACAAAAACAAAAACTTTCGGGCATTAAAGGTGCATGTCATGTTGGGACTGACACACACTGCCAAATGTTATCCATTTTTAAAAGACTGTCTAATGCTTCATACATGTATACAGCTGTAGCAAGATTAGCTATGGGTGGATTTAATGTTTAAGTTTTAGGTAAGAATTAAATTTTTACCTTTGGTTGATTCTCAATTTTCTTCGTCTCCTAGCCTAACCTGTGTACCAGAGGTTTCTTTCTCTAGTGCGGCTGGATTCTGCTGACAGATCTTTGGTCAAAGGATGAAGCAATGAGTGTCGAGGCCAGGCGAAATGCTTTAGCACTGGTCACTACACAGACTTGACCAAAACCAGACACCATGCATGAAAAGTCTCTGGCACCCATGGGTACTCCTAGCTCTAATTTATCAATAGTTGGGGTTCAGAGACAAAGGAAATTGAAAATCAACCAGGGTTAAAACATTTTAACCTGAATTTAATTTTGAACTACAGTATAACATTTACACTTACCTTGCATATAAATCGGCCAGATTTGCAGCAGACTCACAGAGCAATTTCTGCACTTTCTTTGTCTTTTTGTCCTCTTGGCCCGTCACACTAGCCAAACAAAGGTTTCTTAGAAACATGTGCTGCTCACAAACAAGATGTTGGTATGCCTGTGCATTGTGCTTCTGACATCGACTTGCTAATGGCATCTGTAAAATGTGAAAAGTATCATCAACATCATTTCACCCCATACAAGGTAATCTAAGGCAGTCCTACACTGTGGATTCCAGAATCTAGGTACTACATTCCAGATTCCTTCTAATGCAGGACTCCAGATTCCTCGAGTTAATGTAGATTACAGATTTGAAAGCCCAAAATTTCGTATTCCACAAGCAAAAATTTCCCTGATTCCAGAATCCGGATAACCTCACAAGGGGCAAGTCATTTGTTTCCACATGTAATGTGGACAAAACATCCAAACATCTTCAAGCACACCACATACCACAGCTTTGTAAAGTTGGGTTGATTCCATGTTCTGCAAAACATATACTGTCCAGTCTGGTTTACTGCTGTCTCCTTGTTCCTGTTGAGGCTTTGGTGGTCTATTTCTAAAACTTGAAAATTCAAGAAACAGGAGAGTAAGGCAAAAAGTGTTAACATTTTCAGTCTGTGAGCAAACGCTTTATTTCTGGTGAAAGAACAGAGCCACAAGAGAACACATGAGGGCAAACTATTCCTTTTCTTTTCCTGCCCTTTTCTGTGCCACTCAAGCATGACTTCTCACAACTTCCCCAGATGCAGAGCTTGCTTGCAGGCTTTAACATCTTGAGCTCTTATACTAACAGGGTTGTATTCTTCATGCTATTTTATATGAAATCCTCTGCACCATGTCTCCTATTTTTTGAATTAACTTGTCCAGGGCTCAAAAAATACATCCCGTCAAGGCACTGGGACAAGTGGATTTTCTTGCTGGGCAAGTAACTTTTACAGCTTACTTGAAACCCAATGAGCAAGGGTCCCGGCAAGTTCTCAGTAACTAGCTTAGACAAGCAAGAAGTGGCCCCGAGCAAGCAAAATGAGAGAGCTGCTTGCCCAAAGGACAAGCTGGAATTCAAGCTCTTGTAGAACCTTATTGTCCTAAAAAAACATGTTTTACCACTTATCACCTTTTGCTTCTTTGCAAGGCATCGTGTGAAGCTCTTGTCAACAGCACAACACGTTCTCCAGTAGCCAACACATACTGAGATCCAGCAAATGGGTACATGCCAATCAAACAGATGTCAAGAGATGATGGAGGGCATCGCTGTAGAAAAAATTATAAAACAGACGAGCTTAATCAGAAGAATCCCCCTGCAAAACCCTCATAAAGACCCTTCTGAAAGTTCAGAACAAAAGTTGTTCTCCCTCTGTTCACCTCGATTAAAATACAGGTAATTCTAGTCCTTATTTCAGTGTGGATTGTAAAAATTGAATGTGTGAACTCAAACCAATCCTTGACAATACTATTAACATGAACAGATGGACCATGCAGCAATGATGAAGAGAAAATGGTAAAATAAGAGACTTGCCAAGACATCAAGACCCTTGTTTAAAAAATCTTAGACATTGACGGCAAACATAAAAGGCTCAGAGGCAGAAATAAGGTCATGAGAAAGATACTATGAGTCTCATCACAAATGCACCAAGATCATGGGGTCAAATTGTCAGTTCACAAAACCTAAAGAAAAATTGAAGGGAGCCCAGTGCTCTGAACATAATTATGAAATCCAGTGTGCCCAGCATTGGTTTTCTATCAATGAAAAAGCTGAAGATTTCCTAGTCACCCAAGAGAAAAAGTCAGTACCAGGGGCCTCAGAAGCTGCTAGCTTGCAACCCTATATCTGGACACTACATATTTACCGTAACCTACCTGTCGCAAACTCTCTAGATCAAAAACTGGTAAAGTCCATCCACTATCATTGGTAAGTTTATTCATAGCAGCAAAATAAGCTGTTTCACTCAGTTTAGTACCAGAACTACCGCTGAGACCCAAGCTCGCTGAAGCAAATGTTCTTGTGCACTGAACTGTCTCACTCTCTGTACTACTTTCACTGTCATTTTGACCCTCTTTCATTGCTAAAGCAGGCGATGGGGTCCTGCTTCTTGAAGTGAATCTAACAAGCGTTCTTCCTGAGTTGTCAACAGTAAGTGTGACATCTGAAGGCGATGGTTCACATACACTATTGCTTGGCAACATCTCTTTAGAAATTTCTGTTCCAGGTGGTTTTGAGTTGTTACAAGGAGCTGAATCTACAGACTCAAAGTCTGAAACATTAGAGTCACTTTCTGATAAGGGTAGATCATCATTAACAGTGCTTGTGGCAGTTTTTTCATTTTCCTCTAGCTCAACACGTTCACCTGTCTTGCATGATACACTTGTTGGTTCAACACTTTTCGGGAAGACAGCGACAAAGCTGGTGTTTGAGTGACTTGCTGATGAGGGTAGATCATCAGTTACAATGTTTGTGGCAGTACTTTGAGGTTCCTCTTGCTCAACATGTCCATTTGTCTTGCAAACTACACTTGTTTCTTCAACCCTTTTGGAGGAGATGGCAACAGAGCTGATGTTTGAGTCACT